CATGGTGTCAAGCAACATCCGGGTAGGAACTAGCGCGCCTACTGCAGGCGCCTTCACGAGGTCATCGTCAGCACTCAGCGCGAGGACCGCAGTGAGACCGATGCAATCGGTGGCACCTGCCATGGCGATGAAGGGGGAAGGGTTCAACGCCCCGGCCTCCCTCGCGGCGATGCTTGCCGCAGCAACGATCGCGTTCTCCTCTCCTGCGATGGCTGTCGACGTCCCCCCCCCCGCCTCGCCCTTCGCCAACGCAGGAGGCCAGGCCCCGCCCGCGATGATGCAGCGGTCTGTGCAGACGGTCGAGAACATCCGGTACTCGGACTTCGTGAACGCAGTGGAGAAGGACGAGATCGAGAAGGTCTCCTTCTCGTATGACGGCAAGAAACTCGTCGCCGTGGACACTGACGGCGTGCGTGTGAAGCTCGACTCCATCCCGAATGACCCCGAGCTTTTGACAATCCTGACCAAGCACAAGGTGGATGTGACCGTCATGCCCAACCAGACTAACCAGGGCGGCGGCGGCGGTCTCGGACAACTCGGTGGCCTCATCTTCCCTGCGCTGCTCTTCGGCAGCCTGTTGTTCTTATCGCGGAGGGGCGGCGGGCAGGGTGGGGGCGGTGGGATGGGAGGCGGCGGGATGCCGGGCGGCGGCAACCCGATGGACATGACGAAGTCCAAGGGCAAGCTGGAAGTCAACCCTGACACGGGCGTCATGTTCGACCAGGTGGCCGGCTGTGACTCCGCGAAGTTCGAGCTGGAGGAGGTGGTGGACTTCCTCAAGAACCCCGCCAAGTACACCAAGGTCGGCGCCAAGATCCCTCGCGGCGTGATCCTCGAGGGCCCACCCGGTACCGGTAAGACTCTGATCGCTCGTGCCGTCGCCGGCGAGGCTGGCGTGCCTTTCATCGCCACCTCCGGATCCGAGTTCGTCGAGATGTTCGTGGGCGTGGGTGCGGCACGCGTGCGGGACTTGTTCGACAAGGCGAAGGAGAACTCCCCGTGCATCATCTTCATCGACGAAATCGACGCCGTCGGCCGGCAACGTGGCAGCGGCATGGCCGGCGGCAACGACGAACGCGAGCAGACGCTAAACCAGATGCTCGTGGAGATGGACGGCTTCGTCGGCAACCCCGGTGTGATCGTCATGGCCGCCACCAACCGTATCGACATCCTCGACGACGCCCTCCTCCGCCCCGGCCGCTTCGACCGCAGGGTACTGGTGGACCTGCCCAACTTCCAAGGCCGCGTGGCCATCCTGAAGGTGCACGCCCGCGGCAAGCCTCTTGCGCCCGACGTGGACATCGAGGGCATTGCTCGCCGCACCCCCGGCTTCTCCGGCGCTCAGCTCAAGAACCTGCTCAACGAGGCGGCCATCTTCGCCGCGCGCAAGCAGCGCCCCGTGCCCAGCATCGAGTGGGAGGACGTCGACGGTGCGGTGGACCGCCTGCTGGTGGGTCTCGAGAAGAAGGGCGCCCGCGTCGACGAGCAGATGCGCACCATCGTGGCTTACCACGAGGCCGGCCACGCCATCGTGGGAGCTCTGATGCCCGACTACGACACCGTGCAGAAGGTGACCATCGTGCCGCGAACGAACGGAGCGGGCGGGCTGACGTTCTTCTCGCCTTCCGAGGAGCGTCTGGAGTGCGGGCTGTACTCCAAGGTGTACATGGAGTCGCAGCTGGCTGTGGCGCTTGGCGGACGCCTTGCGGAGGAGGTGATGTTCGGCGAGGACCAGGTGAGGAACGTTTTTCGTTGCGTTTGCTGCCATCTCTTAGCGGTGTGATAAAATGGAAAGAACGTATTAGTTGCTGGGCATGCTAGATCATCTTGTAAGTTCTGCATGCACAAATCCACGTTTTATGCCGCTGCAGCAGTAAATGTTGCATTCTGTTCTGTTGACAGTTTCTTCCCCCCCCCCCCCCCCCC